TCGCGGATTTTATACGCAGATATCCACGAGCGCAGATTTTTTTGCCATCCTTAGCCGTGAGTCGGCCGATAAGTCCTTGAATCTCCTTAAGAGTGGTCGAGCTTTGCATTTGCAATACCGCTTCGCATTTGTCAGGGTTAGCTTTAATCCTCCGGGATGTAAGCATGAAACCTAGGAATTTTCCAATAGCCACTCCGAATGTGCATTTGGATGGGTTTAGCCGCATCCTGAAGTTCCTGACTTGGCGAAACACCTCCTCCAAATCCTTTACGTGACCCACGCCGTCCGTCGAGCGAACAACCATGTCGTCTACCTAGGCGTCCCATGCACCGGCCGATCTGTTCCCTGAAAGTCCTATCCATCAAGCGTTGATAGGTGGCTCCGGTGTTCTTGAAGCGGAAAGACATTACTTCATAATAGAAGTTCGCCCTCTCAATGATGAAGGTCGTCTTCTCCTGGTCTGGCCCGTACATAGGTATTTGGTTGTACCCCAAGTAAGCATATACGAAGCTCAACATCCGATAACCGGAGGCGCCGTCTACCAAAGCATCTATGCTTGGTAAGGGGTGTGAGTCCTTCGAGCAGGCCTTATTCAGGTCGGTGTAGTCAGTACACATGCGCCGCTTTCCGCTGGCCATTTTTACCATTACCACATTGGCTAGCCAAGTGGTGTAGGTAACATCCCTGACGAAACCAGCCTCTCTTAGTTTACCCACCTCTTCTTCCACAACTTTCCTTTTCTCCTCGCCCATTCGGCGTTTTTTCTGTGCCACCGGGCGGGCTTCTTTAAATAATGCCAATTTGTGGGACATGATCGAGGGGTGAATCCCCGGCATGTCAGCCGCTGTCTACGCGAACAGGTCTCGGTTCTTCCATAGGAGTGACCTAATTTCCTTTTCTAACTCGGGCTCCAAGCCCCGCGCCATGTTGGTGGTTTGGGAAGAGTCCTTCCTTATTAGGATGGACTGCGTTTCTCCTATAGGTTCCAGCCGGTCCTCCGTGTTCGTCCTTGGATCAAGGTCGGCCATGGCTACTTCGGAGTCGGTCGTTATTCTCTTCCCTTGTTGTGTGTAAAGCTTAAGGCCAGCGGCGTAGCACTCCCTGGCTGTCTTTTGATCCGCTCGGACAGTGCATATGGTCCCTTTCTCCGAGGGGTATTTCATAGTGAGGTGGAGAGTGAAAACAATCGCTCCAAAAGCGTTGAGGCACGGTCGGCCAAGCAACACGTTGTACGAGGTGTTGGCTTCTACCATCAAATATTGGACCCTCTTCTCCTTGCTAGACTGCCCGGTCCCCAACCTGGTGCGCAATTCCACGTATCCCCGGGTGTCTACCCTTTCACCTGTGAAACCTACTATTTGCTCGTTATAAGGGACGATGAGGTCCTCCGATATATCCATCTATTGGAAGGTTTTCCAGTAAAGGATGTTCACCGAAATTCCCTGGTCCACCAGGACTTTACTTACACCATACCGGGCGATCTCCGTTGTTATCACCATTGGGTCGTCTTGGTCGGGGTCAGGGGCATGGTAGTCGTCGTCCCAAAACGTGATAGGTGGCATCGTACGCCGGGTCTTGTCCATTGAGTGAACGGACTGCAGAGCCCGCACATGGCGTTTCCGGGCGGACGAGGATGACCGTCCCCCGGTGAAGCCTCCTAATATGGTGTTAATGTGTCCCTGCCGAGGGTGATCGCGGCTTCTGCTGCGACTTTTGCTTCGTCACCGCTCCGAGCGCGGGCGATCGGTCCGATTGTTTCTAGATCTGTCGTGCCTATAGGCTTGCCGCGGGCTGGGTCGCTCTATGGGTGTCGGAGGACGGTCAACTCGAACGTATTTTTTCAGTTGTCCCGCCCGGATTAGCCACCTAATATGGTGTTAATGCCTTTGACAAACGTTGTCCTTAAACGGTACTGGCTTGAGGGCGGGGAGGATGTAATGTAGGGTAAGTTCTAGGCTCAATCCCTTCACTCGTCACACGGTCTTCTGATAACGATCCATAAACGCTCTCAGCGTTTCTTCCTTGCCCTGCTTCAGGGTGACCAGCTCGAAAACGATCAGGTCCTGAGTACTATTAGCGGCAAACTGCCGGTTGAATAGGCGTTGTAAGCCGGTGAAATTCTCTATAGAATTGGGGGGAAGAGAATTGAACCATTCGAGCGCTTCTCCTTCTAATGACAATGAAAATGCCCGACACCAGATAACGTCATTGCTTGTCCTGAACGCCATCGCGTTCGAGAAAGTTTTTATGTGGGCCTCGGGATCCGTGGTCCTGTTATACGTCTTGAATTGTGACGGAACGAACTATTTAGATATATGGACATCCATGATTGCTTGGACAAAGAGGAGTAATAATGTGGACGAAGGCTCGGGCTTCACCACCATCTGCCTATCCTCCGCGGCGCTTTCCGCGTGTATCGATTTGGCTTTACTCCCTTCGGCCTTAGACTCCGTCGGCTTCCAGGTCTTATTGCGTCTGCTATTATGCTTGGCCTGATCCTCCGCGGCGGCTTTTCCCTCTTCCTCGCCTTCCCTCCCAATGACCTCTCGGGCTATCCGTGCCTCACACTCGACCTTGACGGCCACAAGTTCCTCCTCATGGCGTTGCTGCATCTCGTCCATCCTCTGCTGTAACATTGTGATAATCTCTATTGGATCGTCCATGCTCATGTTTCTCGTGGTCACCATTGGGTTTGAAAAGCAACTCGGCCCCACGGTGGGCGCCAAATGTTTCGGTTGTAGGGGCTGAGTCATCTAATACCTCCACGTTTCTCTCTTCCAGTCTCTCGGCCGTCCGGTCTTGCTTCCTACTCTTCGTTTCACTCCTCCACGTGCGGGTGGGAGAGACCTGCCAAAGATTCTCCGATACCAAAGTCAGTTTGAGAGCAATGGCGTTTTCAATAGAACAGTAATAAATGTTCATTAAATGCTCCTTCCTACCGAGACCTTTGACCTGTATTTACAGTTTTTGTTATGGGCTTGGAATTAATGAAAAGTTAATCACGGCCCAACTTTGGCCTAATAGCTTTTAGCAACTACTTACCTTAATCTTAATCCTAATCTGGTCAACTGGCAGTAGGACCGGCCGACCTCCTGATATTTGGTCTTACAGCCGACCGACTCATATAAGTTGTTGTTCATCCGGATGGCGAGCGGCAAAGTTGCGTGATTGGGTAATCACTGGCCATACGAACGTCCAGTCTATACGTTACTCGGCCCCTCCGGATGACGAGTGGCAAAGTCGCATAATTAAGTAGTCATTGACCATACGGACGTCCAATCTATATGCTGCTCGGTCTCTACTGGTACAATAACTAATCACAATAAAAATTTAGACATCAATAAACCAACAGAATATAAATAATTATATATCATAAGAAGATCATGCTTGTCGATTTTTAACTCAATAATTATCTTTCATTTTAGGATTTTAGGTACTATTATAATAAGTCCTTTTGCTCTTTCATCTTGTCACTTTCTTTGTCATCTTCATTATGACATGAAATTGAAAGAGTTAAGTTATAAAAATTTGTTTGTCAAAATAAAAAGAAATTAATTAGATTTAAATTAAATGAATTATCATCACAAAATTCGTACTTCCAATTTTGGAAGTACAAATAAGTGATTTCCCATTTTTAAGAAAAAAAAATATTTCTAATTAATACGCATTAAGAATATTAGAACTATTGAAACCCATAAGGTTTAATACCTATTATGTAAGTTGAAGATTCAGTGGTCACTACTAGTGTACATATTAAATCATATATGTTACTAAAGATATAATCATATATGTGTTTTTACAATTTTCTAGAATTTACAAGTTGTCAAATGTTTATTGTGAGTGAGTTAAACCTTTATCTGTCAATGATCCTTATTGTTTGGCCCATATGGGTGAGGGACAGTCAATTTCTTTCGTTGTGACTCAAGATCGTGATATGAAAGGAATGATTTTGTGTGTTGTTTATTTATCAACTCCTAAGATCATTGAAGTTGAATTTACTACTGTCGTAATTGTTAATTACACAAAGTGTACATTCCAGATACACAACCATGGCACAGTAATTTCCTTTAAAGATGAAGATTGACATGGCATCATGTCAAATTTAGAATCTGGAGACCATGTGGAGATTTTTGTGATTTTCGGTAATGGATTGATGGTCAAGAACACAACGGTGTATCTGATATGTGGTGAATCAAAGAACATGAAAAAAGCGTCTGAACCAAAGAAACATTCTCTCATTAGAGTCATTTATGTTCTTTGAGAACAGCATGATCACTTTCAACTATTTTCATACTCTTATACAACTTCAATTAATCTCAAAAGTGATTTGCAGAGTTATATTTGTTTCTTTATATGAGTATCTAAGTCTTGTTTTCAAGAGAGTTGAATTCTGAATTAACTGTATTTGATACACATCCTTTACTCCTACCCAATCCTAAAATAAGCTTTAGAAAACATGAGGCTATGTAATTTTCCAATTCAAACAATATTTTAAAAATATTTATGTTCTTCTTCTTGTCATCAAGAAATACTTTTTCTAAATTCTTAAAGAATTTTTTTTCATACGTTATAAGAAATTCATTTTTTTACTAACGAATACAATTCGGCTTTAATCTATTGGTACATAAAAATTAACTGTTTATCTACTTTTAAAATTCATTAATAAAATATTTGTTGATAAAATTTACATACAAATAGAAAATATTATACGAAAAATGTGAGTTATCTACGTATATTTATATATGAATTTTAATTTGTAAGTAATGTAAGTATTATATACAATTTCTAAAACTAAGTTACATACAATTTTTTTTTTTTACTGATTTTCCATATGTAAAATTGGTATATGAAATAGGACAAGAAAATTTGCAAAGAACAAAATCCACTGATATACCAAGTAAAAAACATTACTTACTGATTTTACATACCCAGAAATTCTTTTTCCTCTTTTAGGTAATCCTCTCCTCAAAATTTTCTCACTTCTTGAACTTGAGTTCAGAGAGTTCATCCCGAAGAACATTAACTCACGAACCACTCACTTGTGTCGTCGTTCACTGTCTCTCACTCTGACCTCACACCCTAATCTTGTTCGTTCACTCACCGTTGTCTCAACTCATTCTCATCTCACTCATAATTGTGTCGTGTTCAGTCATAGGTTCGTTGCTGACGACGATCACCAAATTCTTCTTCTCGCTCTGATGGTGATGCTCACATAGTTCGTTGATATGGTAAGTAATTCCTCTCTTCATTCATATAGCTAGTAATCCCTAAAACCCTAAATTCCTAAAACACAAAAACCATAATCCCTCTTTTCATTCTTTCATTAGCACATTACGCTGTTTGGTTCGGTTTGCAAGACATTGTTGCATTGTTACCAGAGCTGGATTGAGACAAAGGTGTTGTGGTTTGGGAAGAATCGGAGTGGTATTAAGGTATATTTCGTTGTAGCCCAACCCAAATTTGCTAGAGATGATACTCGAAGAGAATCTATATATGGAGTTAAGTTTGAAGATGAAAATTTAGAGTTAAAGCATGAAAGAAAAGCGATGCTATCAATGTTGTCATATTAACTAATTTTCTGTTTTTCACCTAATTGTTGGTTATGCTATTTCAAGGCTTCGAAATTTCACATACACATTGGTTGTCTATTTCCTTAGCCCACCAGCAACAGTATTCTTCTTGAAGAGTGGAGCGTTGATTACCTCCATGACCATTATCTACTTAAAGTGATTTCTATGCTTTAAGCTTGAAATGTGGTTAAATTTGAGACATTATTTGCATCTATATAGAATGTAATACGTTGCTAGTGATGTATTGATAAGTTATTGTGTACTAGTTTAATCCCTTTGAACCTTCTATTGACTTATATATGTTCACTCGCTTACTGTAAGCTGAAACTGATAGGGAAGCAGGAGGGAACACAGGTGTCTCAGACAAATTCAGATTTGGCTATTTCAGATGCTTTTCAGATGACAGGAGTTGTTGATTCTGATGGTGAGTTTTTGCTTTCATGTGTTTGAAAGTTCAATCTTTTCGTACCTCTTTAATTGGATTTTTAAAGGTTCTTGTTCCCATTATAGGTAATAGAATAATCGGTGTAATAACAAAGGTTCGGTATACTCTTGTAGCACTTTATCTGACTCATTGTGAAATTTCTTAAGCTTTTGCCTTGTTCTGGACAATATTAGGCACTATATTTGGAATTTAGTTGAGTATCATGGACAGAGGATCTGATGCTCGCAATATATTTTCTCTCACATGTCTACTTTACTAAATATCTAGTATTACTCATTGTAAGAGAAGAATTGTTACTTGATATTATATGACAGTAGAGTATTAAGAAAGTTATGGCTAAGAATGAAAAAATATTTCTTGATCTTGACGATGAAAACTTGTGATTGTACTCTTCTGATCATTCAACTACCACTAAGAATGCTTCATTCACCCTAGCTTAATATTTTAATCATTGTTATTGTCTTCTTTTATATCAAGCTAAATAATATTTCTTTTACCTTGTTAATTTCAACTCGGGTATATATATATATATATAACTTGTGTAGCTTAGCGTGAAAAATTAATAAATAGTGTACACAGCTATAATGTCTCTGATTGAATTCTAAATTTTGTACTTTCATTTAGTTACAAACTGCTATGCC